AACCCTGTGAGTGGAAGGCTGCCGGGCCCCCTTGTCAGAGGTAATTTCTCAAAGCTCTGCATGGGATTTAACGGGAGCCATATGGTTAAGTCTGTCGACCCTCCCAGAAAGCATCCCCCTGAAGGGCCCTCATAAATGTTCTTGGGGCTGTGAAAGATCCAGCAACTTTCTAACAATAAAGCTATGTTCATAGCCATGATATTCAGCAAAACACAGAGCAGGAAATAATGGCTTCTGGTCTGAATTACTCAAAGGGGCCTACAAGTTGTCCTAGCTACGGGCAGAGGAGCAGGACAGCCTGAGACCTGGCCCCCAGCACCTCTAGCAGGAAAGAAGCCAGCCTGCCTGTCCCCAGCATTATTAGCCTGGGGTGGACAGTGGTGCTCAGGTTGGCTTGAGGCATTGAAGAAAACTCATAATAATGGATTCAGACCCACGCATCTTTACAGAGTTGCTCTGTTATTTAGATCTTTAAGCTGTGCCTTTGGTGGACTCATCATTTACTGACTGCTCTCCTTACTTATGTATTTATTTTTTAGAGAAACAATGCCACAAACCATTTAAATATACTAACATTCCTTCTTGATAGCACTTGGGGTGACCTATCAATTTACACAGTGATGCCTTACAACCTTCCTTGATTGAAGAAATAGCACTGCTTTTGATGTCAAGTCCTGACTTGTAATAAGCTTTCCTTTTAATTACTATTAATGGTTTTCTGTTTGTTTATTTGTTTTTCTTGGGCATGCCCATGGGGCCACATCTGCCTGGCACACTGTGTCAGGGTTGCAGAGAGAAAGGGGATAAAGAATCATAGTGTGAGAGGAGGTATCACTTCTAATGAGCAACAGAACCTTTTTATTTTTACACAAAACAAGATTTGTTTCCATAATAATTTACATAAAATTTAAAAGTATTAATTAAAGCATTATAATATACAGAAGTTTCTAAGTATTAGATCCATACTGCCTAAGTACAGCCCCATGCAAATGGGATTTATGATACAACAGAATTAGAATTGGTGTAAAATCAAGGAGGCATTCATACATAAATGGCTTCCTATATGCATATTTCCAAGTTTCCTGATATAGCTGGCTGTCACTAGCTTAACTAGAATATTCCATGCTTGTATGTTGATGTTAGATGCATAACACTTTCACTGTAAACAATTACTGTTAAGTAATTCTTGCCAATAATCTAATGAACTAATGCATTTGCCTAATTCCCTACAGAGAATTAAAAAGCATGAAGAAAAGTTATAGACTATTTGGGCAGTACTTCCCATAACTGTCAGAGCTCTATACTGCTATCCATTCTTGTAGAACTCCACACTCCATATTACCTTCATTGTACTCCTAAAGAATTACTGAGCATGAATTAAAAGACTCTCTTAGGAAAGCTGGGATCTATTAAGATTGTTGCCACCTGCTCAGCTAATCATTGCCTCCTTAAAAAAAAAAAAAAAAAAAAAGGTCTCATGTGATAAAAGATCCAGAGACAGGCAAAGAAAGAATTTCCACTACCCTTACCTGCTCATCCGCCATTTTTCCCAGGCTCTGCTGACTTGATCCTGAATTAATGAGCCTGTTACATGATATCTAATAAAAATGACTGGAGAGAGAGATACTGTTTGGAATCTGCCACATACTTGGTTCAAGGCTGAATTGATTTCATCTCTATTAACACATGCTTATTTTCTGTCTCTCTTGTCTCCACACAGCCCATGGCTCACCCCCCCCCCCACCCCCTGGTCTGGGAAACTTATCTTCTAAATTTCTACCATCAATCAGCCAATGACACTCTTCCCGACAGAGCGTCTGCCAGTTTGACTGAGCACAAGTAGTCACTAGTTTGGGGATGCCTCCCACACTCCCTAGAGCTGTGTGTTTTTCTAGCCTGCCTAACCACACAAGTGCAATTTGGGATATTTATACTTACCTCCAGTTTCTATTGAGATAATAGCACTACTTTTACAGAATGGAGCACAGGGCATGGTGAAGGTTGCTATGGGATAGGATAGAAGTGCATATTTTATTTTTCTATCTACTATTAACACTATTTATTTGGGTTGTGTTTTTTTTTTTTTTTTTTTGCATTTTAATTCATTTTAGTATGCATGCCCTGGCTCAATGCCTGCCCCCAAAGCATAAAAATCAAAAGATTCCAAGGACATGTACACTTGGGCCCCAAAGCTTTCTCTGGTAACTTGTACCACGTTCATTTTTCAGTTCTTTATGTCAATATCACTCCTGATACATTCAAGCCTCTAAGCTTAAATTTTATAGCATGCGAAGAGGAAGAAAGAAAAGAGAAAAAGTAGGGTGGCTTTAGAAGCCAAGCACCAGTGTAAGGGAAAGAAAGACGGGGGACCAGGAGCCAGGCAGTCCCCCTCCCACAAAGTTCCAGTCGTGAACACACCCGCTGGCCACAGCACAAGAGCAGTGTACGAGGGCACAGGTGGGTCCCAGCCACTCTGGCTGGATGCAGCTTACGCACTGAGCCTGAATGAAGACTTTCATTGCTGTTTGCTGTTTTTGTTGGCCAGTAGCCATGGCAAACATTTGCAGGTGGCTTGGCCAGATTTTGACACTTAAATATTTGAGGTTGTGATAAAAATCAGAATATTACTACAATATGGTTCTGTGCAGCCACACACATGCGTGTGTGCGCACACATACACACATACACACACACAGAGAAGAATAAAAAAAGCTATCTACAATTTCAAATGCTCATTTAAAGACAGAGTCTCCAGAGGGAACTCATGTTTTAAAATAAGTACTCATTTCCTCTTTGCTGAGAGAAATAAAAGAGTCAACCAACCCCAAATGTTACCACCTAGAGTTTCATACTGAACCCACTGGTGAGATGGGCTGGGCTGTTTCTCCATGAGCCCCCACGATCATCCGATCATCCGGGCAAGGTTTTGGATGGGTCACATGGAGGAAAATGGAAATGACAGGATGTGTGGGTTTGAATCAACATAGTAAGCACAACAGGGAAGAATCCGAAGAAAAGAAATAGCCTCCCTCCTGCTTTGGCAATGAGACAGAGTCCTAAAAGTGACAATTATCCCCTAGAACACACCAGGAGAGATATATGAAACCCCAAGATGGGGATTAAATGGGAAGAGGGAGTGCGTCAGGAGGTCACCCATACCAGAGAGACACCCCCATCCATCCAGGCAGAGTGACACAGTCTATGAATGTCACCCAAATGTACAGTCCTGGGCCAGCTGGGTACATTATTGACAGAGTCAACACCCATCTAAAAATTTAGTGCTAACCCTTAAAAAGACTGTTTCATAAAAACCCGTGCTGTACTAACAATGGCGGAACACTAAGGGCCTCCAAGAGGGTAGTTGGTGAGGGCAGAGGCGGGCAGGCAGGAGAGCTCCAGGGGGGAAGGAATGCTGTAAAACTGCTAGTAAACTCCAGCACATTTTATGTTTTTTTTCCCCCCTTGAAAGAAAAATAAAATAATTATAATTAGCTGGCCTAACGGTAAATTGTCTGCCCAGAACCAGACCCCGACCCCCTAAAGTGCAGGTGTCCCTTGAGATTTGGATGCTGTTGTTAATGAATTGGCTCCACCCTCTTAGTACATTATGGATTCTTGCATTAGATAATGACAATATTTTTCTCCCGTAGTCATTGAGGAAAAAACAAAACAAAACAAGAAATCTTGAAGAGATAACTTGCTCATTTAGCATTGACATCTTTAAACAAAGCCAAGGATCCAAAGGGCCAGATTGATTTTACCCTTCTTCAATGGGAAACCAAATGTGCCCATGGCAAACTCACAGAAGGTGTCAGTACGCATCCTGATATGCCCAGAAATGTGAGTGCCAAGGTACCCATTCTAGAGTATTCTGAGAGGGGTGGGCCAGTGCTAACCTCCATGCTCACATGATCTGGGATCTATGACAACATTTAAAAAGTAGCAGGGGCAGAGGTGTCACATTGACAAATTGGGAGGAAACTTCTAAATTTTTTCAAAAATCACCATATCCATTCGTCAACAGAAAATTCAAACTGAATACTGATGCATGTACCCACAGAGAAAGCTCCTCTTCCTGTTCTAAGTAGACACTTCTGGGAACATAGAGCAACCAGTTGTCAGCATCGAGCAATACACATTTATCATAGCTCTTTGGCTTAAGTTATTACCTTTTTTTCCCTAAGAACCCAATGTGCTCTTAAATCTTTTATTTCATCTTTACTCTTATGAGGTTGGAAAGAACAAACTCCATCCTCATTCTGGAGATACGGAAGCTGGGCCAGAGATTCTGCATTTCTAAGAAGCTGCAGGGTAATGCCCAGGATGCTGATCATCAGACCACATGGTGTAGCAAGCAAGAGTTGGAACTGGATGGTGATACTGAGAACTGAGAGCAGTTTCTGTCACATGGCAAGGGGTGTCTGGGATTCTATGATGGGACATGTCTACCATTTTTTCCTCAATGGCTCAGTGTTGTCCTTTTACATAAATGAGAGGAAGAGGGCCTGCTTTGGTTTGTCTATTCTGGAAGTGAGCAAGGGCCAGTGTAGAGGAGGAAGAGCTAATAAGGTGGTATTAACAAGGAAGAGAGGGAGGGAAGAAGGATCAGGGGAAGGAGGACTGTAGGAATAGCCAAGCAGCACAAGTGTCCAGGAAGGGAGGGGTGCATTCAGCTGGGAAGAGGCTGGACAGGGGACTTCCCTCCACCATCATCCAGCACTTGTCCTGAGCACTCTGCTCTGGTCTCCATACCACCAGCAAGTGTACCTGCAACCATTTTCAAGTTTACAAACGAGGACAGAGAACAACTTGCTTTCCTCCTCAACATCCAGGATCAAAACAGCCTCTGTCAAACAGGCTCCCTTTTCTCATCAAAAGCATCACTGTGAATTCTCAGCAGTATCACATCAGCCAGGAAAACCAACCAGTCTGAGCACCAGCATAAAGGAGAAAGTCCAGAACATTCCAAGGACCAGAGACAGCCTAGGAGGTCTCCTTACCCGATCTGGCGGTTGGTAGAAGGTGCCTGTGTGATGACAGAGCTGGACTGGGGCGATGGCATGGCTTGCTGAATCACAACGCTGGTGTCATGGTTGGGCATCCGGGTACTGCCAAGCTGGTGAGCTCCGGGCCCCGTCATGGCCCCACCGACTGTATTATGCATCGGAATATTCTGCCCAGAGACGACAGAGGAGAAAGGTCAGAGGGAGGCGATGTTTCTTTCTACTCCCAAGCTCTCAAAGGCCAAAATTGGGAATCTGGTCATGTCAACTAAATAGAGAGTTACGGCTTCTGGCAAGCCTTGGGCCCATTCATCTTGTAATAACTTACAGCTACGAGGAGATGAAAAATAACTACTCAGTCTGAGAGTAGAGCACAAAGGGAAATGCCCCGAAGTTGGCTTATCACTCTGCCGCCATCCTGATGCGAGGTTTACATCAGGGATATTTAGTGCTTACCCTTTCTGACTCAGTATGATATACGCTGCACTTGAAAGCCATTCTGCGGTAAGTGCATAATACATGATTTAGCGAATTTGGTTCTGCATCCTACTTTGAATGACAAGCACACTGCCTTATTTCTTGGCTTTCAGTCCTAGAAGAGTGGCCAACTCGATTTTTTTTCCCCTTTCCAGGAAACTATAACTTTTCCAAATCCTTATCAGAGTACTCAACAATCAGTAGAATGAAGATGGATGATTCGAATAGCCGACAGGGCATCAGGGATCCCTGACAAGAGTCACAGTCACAGCATTCTTTACCTCCATCAACTCAACCTCTAACAATTGTATGGAACGCCAGAATGGAGAACAGTGACTGCTTGTGTCTTTACTTGATCACTGTCCTTTCCTCTAGAATGTAGGAAGTGTGTGTTCACAACTCCATCCCATGGTGTTTGAAGCATGGCAGGGGTTCAAGACACACATCATGTGGATAAACTAGTGAAAGAACAAATGACACACCTGAGTCCCTCGAGGGGGTCTAGCAGCATGCATTTATTCCTGATGACTGAAATGAAGGCTTTTGGGGTTAAAGTTCAAGATTCAACTAAAACATATAAGGTAAAAATGGGTTTAAAAGACAGGAGCTGGAAAGTGAGAAAGAAATTCAGAATCCACTAAAGAAAAGTGAAGTGTACAGCCAATCAAAGTTAACAGGGAAAGGCAATAAGAAGACCTCTGTGGCCAGCCTGGTATAGCCCTGCAGCCTAGAAGGGGAGAGAAATTCCAGAGGTCAGCTGGACAAAGGGTTGAGGATGGGAGGGGAGGGAAAAATGGAGGGTCACTAGCCATGTACTTGAGGAAAAAATATATATCTGTCTACGCTTTGGTGTTAGCAAAGAAAAAAATAAATGTTACCCAAGAGAACTGGAAGGGGTTCTTTGAAGTTCTTCTGCAAAGAACAGGATTTCCTGCACTATGTGTTAAATGATGGTGATAACATATAAGGGACTGAGGCGGTTGTGTCCATCACACAGCACCTTTCCCAGGTTCTGATTTCTAAATCCTGACCACACAGTTTGTCAAGAGTCCAGTTGGAACCTGGGCACCTGGTGCAGACTGTGAGCTGATTGTGTTGTTGCGGGATCCCAAAGGCTTATACATACACACGGTCCAAGGGCACCTCTTCCATACTGGAAAGCTTTTCTGACATGGGCAAACACTGTGGTTGGGTAAAGTAAGATGAAAGGAAGTGGTGATTTGTGCTGGGGTGGCTGTGCAGGCAGGAGTTATGCTCTATTTCTTTGTATAGGTTCTAGAGATTAAGAAAATCAGATTTTAAATAATAAAAATAAAGGAAATTGTGGGGTATATATATATATATATATATATATATATATTTTTTTTTTTTTTTAAGTTGAACCTTACCAAATGCATTTCCCCAGTCTCAATGAGATCTGGATGAGGTGAACAACAACAGGGATCATATTTCCCATTGTTTACATCCTTAAAAAAATTCAAATTTTTTCACCTGCATTGTCAATAACACTTCGGAGACTTAGAAGGATTCTCTGAGTCTCCTTCTAGAATTATTTCTACTGATCTATGCAACCAGAGGTTATCGATAAAGCTGTGCAATTTAATTTTTAAAATCTCAACCTTTAAACACACAAAGAAAAATATGCATGAAACCTCCTTGAGTTACCAGGGACCCCTCTTCTAGGTGATCCCCATGTGCAGCCCCCAAGTCCTGTACATTTAAATTAAGCATCTCTCATCTCTTTCTATCCTTTGTCCCTCCTTCCACCAACCTACACTTGACCTTTCCTGGGTAGACAGTGGGCGAACCGGCCTCCCTCATTCCTCTGGCCTCTCTTCCTTCTCCTTCATACACTACCGCTACAGTGACCTGTCTGAAACTCAAAATCGATGACATCACACACAGCTCCCACTATGGGTCCCTCACCCTGAGCCCCTCAGTGGCTTTGGCAAGGTACAGACAGCACTCTTTGTGTGACCACCAGGACCTGTGTGGGACTCTTCCTCCCTCCCAGCTCACCAGACACCACCTTCTCTCTGGCTCCCTGGAATTCATCCGACCTTCCTGGATTTCTCCTGCCCTCTTTCTGATTTCATTGCATTTCAGCACAAGGTCTTGAAATATGGCTGTTTTCTGACCCAGATGCTCTTTCTCTGACTCCGCCTTCAACTCTCAGACTGAGCCTCATGCAGGGAAGCCTTCCCTGACCTCCCAGTGATGGGCACCACTTCCTCTTCCTTTGTAGGACTCCTTACAAGTTTATCATGGGTTTTGATGATCTGACTAGTAGCCATTTCTCTCTTCATCTTTAAGGACAGGGCACTGAATCTGATTTATCTCCCTTGTGTCTCTATTGCCTCAGTCAGTCCCTGGCTTATCATAGCAATGAATGAACGAACCTTCCTGGAAAACTCAAGAGGACAATTTTGGGGACTGCTAAATATCCTGTCTATTCACCTTGTAATCTGAAGTAAGCTAAATTTTAGATATTAAGGCACTTATTCAATTGTGGTCAGGAGAAATGGAGAAAATCAGGATTAAGAAGAAAGCCACACAATCTGGGCTGGTAGTACATGCCTTTAATATCAATGACTCAGGAGGCTGAGGCAGGAGGATCACAAGTTTGAGCCCAGTCTCACAATTTAGGAAGACCCCTAGTAACTTAGCAAAATTAAAAAAAAAAAAGACTGGGCATATAGCTCAGTGGTATAGCAACTGTGGGTTTAATTCCCCAATATAAAATAAAAAGGAAGAGGAGAAGGAGAAGAAGACAGCCACACAATATGTATATTGGAAAGTTGGAAAGTAAAGTCTTTGAAAAAATATTAAATGAGACCTTGAAAGAAGATGCTGAGAAGTGAGTTTCCAGTCTTTGAACACTTTGACATAAATTACCAACAACAATGCTTTACATACACCACAAAAAGCCTTGCTTAAAATCTGGCTTTATACCACAACATAAAACAATACCAAAAAAAAAAAAAACACTTGGTTTGATTTCCTTGAAGTAAAGCATGCTAAATCAGATAAAAGAATAACACCCTTCTCCCCAAAAAAGCTTAAGAATCTTTTCTAAGATTCACTGAAAAGAATAAGAATTACTGCTGAGGAATATATTTCACATTCACACCCACCATTTTTTAATAAAAAATATCTGAACACATACCAATTGTACATGTGGATAGTGTACACTGATCAAATTCAACCTCCCCACCAACGTTTCAGATAATCTCTTTGTCTCTGCGATCTCCTCCAGAGAAGGAAAAAGCTCCTGAATGTCATGTTCTAACTCTTCAATAATCTCTCTTCCTCACACAGAAAACTTGCAAATTCTTCAGCCTTCTTTCCCCAGACCCAGAAAGCAATTCCAAAACATTTTGGAAAAATAATCTGGCAAAAACATTATCATTCCATGTTTAGAGAAGGTGATTTTATTTTTTAAGCATTACATAGTAACTCAAACATGACATTATTTTCTGAGTTTACATTGTCCCAATTATCAATTCAAAATCTGTCTCATTGATAGAACAATAGCATTTTCATCTCAGGATAAATTGTGAAAAACACAAGCAATAAGTATGTCTTGCGGAATCATTTTTGATAGTCCAGGTGGGTAGATCTGAAGCTGGTGAAATGATGTCACCGAGTAGATGACACTGGGCGGATGTCCACATGTAGAGGAGGATCCAAGGTGCTCCTCCAAGCTCAGCCTTTGGCCTTTTCTTGTTCGATACTTTTATCAACAGTTTGGATGAAGATGTGAAAAATCATGCTTGTCAAATCTGCAGTTGACACAAAGTTGGGAAGCATGGCTAATGTTCTGGAGAGCAGAATCAGGTTTTCCTCGAGCCAACTGTGTGATCTGGCCTCTAAAAATGCTAACATAAATCTAAGGTTGTTTTAGAAGAACTGAAACGTCCAGATCAAGGGAAGTAATTATTCCGCTGTAGAGTACATTGGGCTGACCACATTTGGCCACCACATTTTAAGGGGGAAATTGACAAATGCAGGGGGGAGGGGGAGGTAACAAAAGCAAATAAGGCATCCAAAATGCATCCCAGGAAGAATGGTAGAAGGATCAGGGAATATTTAGTCTGAAGAGAAGATTCTGAGGGTCATGCTAAAAGCCTTCAAATATTTGTGGGATTAGACACAGTCTATGTTGCTCCAGAGGGCATAATTTCAAAAAGTGGAATCATGATGATAAAAGTCAATAATAACTGCAATTTGAGTACCCATTTTGAATCAGGCACTAGGATAGATGCTCTATAAACTGTACCTCTCATCTTCACAATGGTGCTATGAGATAGGCATTATTGTCTTCATTTGAAGATGAATAAAAGAGTAAACTCCTCACCATCACCAATACCAGGCCACTCACCTCTGGCCACTGTTAGAGTCTGTAAACAAGTCTGGATGGCGCCTGGCATTTTGCCAGAGGGAGTGGTTTGTGAAGTAACGCCAGCGAGCCATTAAGTGTAGAGATTCCTTATTGGTTGACTGCTGAATCAAGTTTATGTTAATTAGATAAACTGTGTGGAATGTATAAATACCTCTGTTGTCCTACAATAAACGGCTCCCACTCCTGCTGTATCAATCTACACAAGTTGCTTGTCATCCACCCCACCCGGTTATTTTGCTGCAGCCGGACTGCGGCAGGCCACCTTCACTCCTTATGGGACAATGTTTCAAA